TTTAAAAAAAAAAAAAAAAAAAAATCACTGTGAAATAATTAAAAGTTAAGCCAGATATGGTGGCGCACACCTGTCATCCCAGCACTCTGAGAGGCTAAGGCAGAAGTTTCCCAAGTTCAAGCCCAACCTGGGCAATTTAGTAACTTAGACTCTGTCCCAAAAAACATTCTTAAAAAGATGGGTAGAGGGGCTGGGGAAGTAGCTCAGTATGGAGGCCCTGGGTTCAGTCCTCAGTACTGCAGATAAATCAATCAATCCTTGGGACTATTAGTTCTCAGCCTGTCCACCTGCCCAAAAGCATTTGGCAGGCCGAAGTTCTCCATCAGCTGCGATTATTCCAAAAGAGTTCTTCCAGCTGAGATTTACTGAGCACCTGCTAAGCCAGGCCATGTGACAGACTCGCACCTTCCCAGGGTTTCTAGCCAGTGGAGCTTGGAGGAGAGGTTTCTGGGAGACAGGGGGCATCACAAAGCCCTGAGGCAGGGCACGGCACAGCTGGGCTCTGGTTGCCTCTCCGGGCCAAAAACAGATGGTAGAGGTGCCCGTCTTCTGTGTAGACCGGGGTGGCCAGCCAGCCCCTCCCTCTGAGACCTCCATCATGCGCCCTGTCCCCAGTCTGCTGGAGGGACTGAGACCAAGGGTGCAGGCAGGGCAAGCTGCGGAAAGCTGGTGACAGTCCTCACCTGTACACAGCCACAGGGGATGACGATGGCCCAGAGTGGGAAAGCAGAGGACAGGGACAATCAGCACGAGGACAGGCACAGGTGGAAGCGGATGTGTGAGGCAGGAAGTCCTGAACGGCTCACTGTAGCCAAGAGGGCAGGGATGTCCCCTTTCCTGCCCCATCGGACAGCAGGCCTGGCCCTGCCTGCCCTCCAGGACCAGAAGCCCTGGGCAAAGGTTTCAGGTCCTCACGCTCCACTTCCCTGCCAGGCCCCACTGTCCCAAGTGGAACAGAACAGGAATGGGTGGAAGACATAGAAAGTGGCCTGGACTTGTGGCTTCCCCAGGAGAATCAATGCCACGTAACTGTGGAAGGGCGGCTTCAGGGGAGGACCCCAAGGAGACCCTGGGCCTGGGGCCTCCTGCCCTCACAGAGGACCGGCAGGGTCCATGGTGAATGCAGAACACTCAGTCAGCAAAGGAGGAGCTTAGGCTTCCTGGGCATCCCAGGAGCAGCCGCTCCAAACCAGGCCACATCCGAAGGCCTCGCCAGCTTCCTGGAGAGGCCGGTCACGTGGCTGCTGGGAGCTGGTCCCGCAGGCTTCACGCCAATCTGAGTCAGGTCCCAGCCTGCCCCTCCTGCCTACGTGCAAGCACTCAGAACCCTGAGACGCAGGTGTGGTCGGCAGCAGAATTGCTCCAGCAATTTGTAAAATCCAAATGGGCTCTGAGCTGTCAAACTTGGTTCACCACCCTGGAAAGCAAAGTACAGAACCATCTAAGGTGGGTGAGGTGGTGCAGGCCGGTAATCCTGGCACTCAGGAGGCCGAAGGCAGGAGGACCTCACATGTAAGCCCAACCTGGACAACAAGGTGCTTAGCGAGAACCTATGTCAAATGTTTAAAAGGGCTGGAAAAGTAGTTTGGTGCAAAGGGCCTGGGTTCAATCCTCACCACTATCAAAAAAAAAAAAAAAAGATGAGGCCACTGTCCACATGCTGGCCGGGCTATTCTAGGTGGGAAGCTGAGGGAGGAGTGACCTGAAGGTTCTGTTTTATTTTTTTAATGAGACAAAGCTTGTTCAGGTACCCAATCTCATAACATTGTAGGTTTTTTATTTTGTTTGTTTTTTTTAAACTGAGGACTAAACTCAGGACCCTGCACTTGCGAGGCAGGCTTAATGCCACTAAGCTAAATCCCTGGCCCTCTCATAAAATTGTGTTTAATTTTAATATTATTGTTTTCAGACAGGGTATGTTGCCTACACTAGTTTCAAACTCCTGGACTCAAGCAATCCTCCTGCTTCAGCCTCCTGAGCAGCTGGGCGTGCACCACAGCAACCAGTTCTTAATAAAAACAAAACTAATACACAGGGAACCGGAAGATCCAAAGCCGCACGTCTCAGACTCAAATGGTGAGTGATATTTTGATGGCTTCTAGTTTTGGACCAGGCTGATCAGATTTGGGGTACCTCCTCTTCCTCCCCTCAACACTCCAGCTTTCTCCCACTCACCCTGCCCTGCTTTCACCCTCACCCCTCTCACCTGCTACCACCCCACTGTCCCTGACGGTCAGTCGAGGAGCTGGAACAGAAGCAGTGTCTGCGGCTGCCAGGTCCAGAGAGGGGAGCAGCGCAGACAGAGCCTCCGGGCACAGCCACTTCCCAGGCCAGAGAGAGAGGCCAGAGGCTGAGACGGCTCCGTCACCTTCCCCGAGAACTGTCCCAGGTAAGGCTGTGCCCCAAGCCTCCTGTTACTGGGGCCAAGCCAGTGCCCGGTATGGGATGCCCGCAGCCGCCCAGCCCTCAGGGTCCTGTCCGACGTCACAGCACACTCCTCACAGGGACGCACTGTACCAGCGGGGAGGCGGGGTCTGCAACCAGGGAGCCCCACTGATACAGGCATCCATTTCCTTTAGTTCAGGAGTCATGTGTGGTTCCCCATTTTCAGGCATACAGCGACTTCAAAATGAAGAGCAGTCACCAAAAAGGGTACAGAGGGCATGCACTCCTCCATCAAAGGCCTGCAGCTCCCTCTTTAAACTTCATCACCTGTGCACAGTGACAGTCCCTGAATCCCAGCCACCCAGGAGGCTGAGACAGGAGGACGCAAATTCAAACCCAAACTGGGCAGCTTAGCACGATCCCGTCTCGGAATAAAATTATTTTGTTTTTGTTTTGTTTTGTTTTTTGAGACAGGGTCTCACTATGTAGTTGAGACTGACCTGGAACTCACTATGTAGCCCAGGCTGGTCTTGAACTCACAGGGATCCTCCGGCCTCAGCCTCTCGAGTACTGGGATTACTGGCGTGAGCCACCACGCCCGGCTAGGAATAAAATTCTAAACAGGGCTGGGGGCACATCTCAGCGTTACACCGGGGCCCTGGCTTCATCCTCGCACTGGAAAAAAAAATTAAGACTGGAGGCTCGAAGCATTAATGTTTAAGAGAAAGGGGCCGGGGATTTAGCTCAGTGGTTCTGCCGCCTGCTTTGCAAACGCAAGAACCCGAGTTCGATCCCCGGAACCGGTGGGAAATTCGGACGTTGAAAAGAGCCGGCCGTCCTCCCTGCGGGAGCTGCAGCCACATTGCGTCCCCAGGCCACAGCCGAGCTTCTGGAACTCATCTTCATCTTCCCTGCCAGCTGGAAGAACCCACTCTGGACTCGACAGAGCGCTCGTCCTCTCCCACCCCAACCCCGGTCCTGCTCCCGCCCGGCGGAGTAGAAATCAGCCTAGCAACAGGTGACGTACAGGTCCGGGAGAGCGCGGGGATTCGCGAAACCGGGCCGCAGGGGCGGGTCCGCACTCCAGGGGAGCAGACCGAGTTTCCGGGTACCGCCCGCTTCCCAGGATCCTCTGCATCGCGGTGCGGGCACCGCCCCCACCCCGCTGGCCTCTCCGAGCCCCTGAAGGCGATGTCCGCCTCGTGGGGTGGCCAGGAGAGGAAGAGCGACCCACACCGCACCTGACACGAGCTCCGCACGGCACGCACGAGGCGTGATTGGAAAATGCCCAGAAGGCTCCCACCTTTAAAATGTGTGGCAGAGGCCGGATGTGATGGTGCTAGGAGTTCAAGGCCAGCCTGGGCTGCACCGCAAGACAGTATCTCAAAAAACAAAAACACAGGTGTGACAGTAAAGCCAGCTCTTCCTCAGCATCTCCCCTTGCTCACAGCGAACCGGTCCCATCACCTTGACCACTTCCTGCAGCGGCTCTGGAGTCCTCTTTCCTGTGTTTCTTCCTTGCGGTGGTGGAGTCTAGACACTGACCTTTCCTGTCATTACCCTGGGGAAGAGCTGCAGGTCACGTGGTGCCAGATCCAGTGAATGAGGTGGCCGATGACACACTGTAATGTTTTTATTTGACAGAAGCTACCAGTCATGTTCAATCAATGATGATAAAAAAATATGGTGAATGTTTAAATTTTAAAATTCATTACAGAAAAAGACACATTGTCGTGCATCTCCTCGAATATTCATCACACACAGTTCCTTCAGACACACTTGTCCCATCCCAAGCCACGCAGCCTTCACAACAGTGATTTTCTTTAAATGGAAGCGTTTGCGGCTTTGGGGGCACCTTTGTGCCGTGGGCAGCTCACCCCAAGTTTCCTGCTTGCTGAGCCCATACGCCTGTTGATTTATGTTGCCCTGCAGCAATGGTAGGCTTGTGGTTCCACCCCCAGGTAGGGAAACAGGCACAGAGCGCTGAATGGGGACTCCCCAGGCCACAGCTAAGGTGCAGGGCCATGGCCATTGTCACCAACCGTGCTGTTGTTCCTCCCTACCGTGGTGCGTTCCCTGGAGAGGTGGTTAGAGCTCTCAACATCTCTAGTAACACTATGGGGCAGCCAAAGTCCCAGGAAAACCAGGTTTCCAGGCAGCCCCATTTCCTAATCCTCCCCCTTCAGACACCCAGCTTTCTCAGGGAAGCATCACGCAGAAGAAAAAATGTCCTTTCCTCGCCGAAGCAGAAAGCTGAGCCTTTGGGCCCTGGGCTCTGGCCTGGACCAGGCTTCACCTCAGACCTCTGAACTTTAAGTTAAAACAGAGCTGCTCTGCACTGTGGAGCCCAGGCAGGAGCCAGCACCAAGGCCCAGCCCAGCCTCGCCCTAGAGAAGCCTTGTGAAATAAGCCTGCCTAGACTTGGGCTTCACACGTGAAAACCTGAGCTTGCTTGTTAATTCTGATGGGAAAACACGGCCAGATGAAGAGGGAAGGATGCCTGCCTAGGAACTGAAGCCCTGTCCCCTTTGGGGGCTGAACCCAAAAGACTTGCACCCCAAGTCCCTGGAATCGCATAGTGAGGAACAGCATCACAAAAATGTCCTGCAAGACACCTGCGCCTGTGTCCTTCACCAATGTCAGTGTCAAAACAGCAGTCATGAAGCTGAGAAGCCATCACAGATTGAAAACAGACAGCCAGCTGGACGTCATGGCGCACACCTGTAATCCCAGCACTTGGGAGGCTGAGGCAAGATCATGGACAAATGAAGCTTCACTGGGAGCCAGAAAAAGAAAATCAAAGAAATTATTGGGTCAATTGACAAATTTAAATTATTGGGGCAACTGAGAAATTTAAATTTGGGCTCCATATCAGAAATTGTATGAATGTAACTGTACTGTATACCTAAAATGTACCAGTAAATTCAATTTAAAAAAAAAAGAAATCGTAAGGTTTCCTGAATTTAGCTACAATGAAATCATACAGTACAAACGGTGAAGTCATGATGCATGTAGTTAACTCATGAAGGATTCAGCAAGAACAGTAATAATTATATCTGTACGGGGATGGAGGGAGATGTCAAAGACTGCGGAATACAGGGCAGGAGGTGGCGTGCAACTCAATCTTACCACTTCTCTGAAGATTTCAATCTCAAATGAATACACCTTCAAAAGGGGATATAAGCCAGGCGTGGTGGTACCCACCTGCAATCCCAGCACTCCAGAGGCTGAGGCAGGAGGATCACCACAAGTTCCAGGCCAGCCTGGGCTACATACATAGTGAGAGAAACTTGTTACATGGCTATGCATGTCCCAGAAGACCTTTCCCTGTGACACTGCACCCGGCTTGCAACCAAAAGGTCCTGAGTTCAGTCCCCAATACTAAAAACAAAAACAAAAACAAAAAGAAAACAAAGAACTTTCCCAAGGTCCTCACAACCTGGGGGGTGGTGTGGCTGGTTAAAGGACAGGGATGTTTGCCCACCTGCGGGTCCTGGTGGGTATGGCCTTTTTGTTTGCAGACTGGAGCCAGCAGCTTTACAAGTACTCACAACTTGTCAGACAACTCCCAAGCACACAGGAAAATTACAGCCACACCTGCTCAGACAAGAATAGCTAGGCTTCTCCAAGCAGTGGCCGGGACTGGAAAAGAGGTCTCTCCCATCATAAGCAAGGACACTAAGGCTCACAAACAGACCTCTCAGGAACTCCCAGACTGCGCTTTTTTGTTTTGTTTTAATTCTTGCTAATTTGCCCAAGTAGCCTCAAACTCTGAATCCTCCTGCCTCAGCCTCCAGAGTAACTGGGACCACAGCATGTCCAACATGTCTGTGCTCTGTCTGCCCTCCACCTCCAGAACCCCTCTGGCCCCACCTCCCATGTCCCCAGGGTTGGACACTTGCATCACGGGCCCGCCTCCCACTTGCCTTGCCCTCTGTACTCACCCCGTCCAAACCCAGGGGTGCAGCCAGGGTTCTAGCAGCCTGGGGTCCCCTGCCTCCACCTGGATCCCTGCTCTGCTGACAGACACGGAAATGCACCTGGATTCACAGACACTGTGCATGCCACTCCCAGGGGTCACCATGACCACACCCATCCATGTGGTAGTTGTGCAGCCTGGAGCAAGGGGGAACCTCCAGGGAGACGTGGATGCCACCATCATCCATGAAGGCAGGAACCGGGGCCGCAGACGGGAAGAGCCCAGGCCCCCCCAGGACCTTGGGGTGACACGGAGCATCCCTGCCAGGGCGCAAGACAGTGACATGACAGAGCCAGTGGGCAGGCAGATGGGCCCAGCATGGGCCTTTGTCAATGGCATGGTCACTGCAGGAGGGGACAAGTGAGGGCTTCCTGGGCTCCTTCCCCCACCCACCTACCCCATCTGGCCCAGCCAGTGACATCCTGCTCAGGAGGCCTAGGACCAGCACCCAGGGAATTTGGGATCCAGCATCAGCTTCACTGACCCTGCAGGATGCATCTTATGGGGTCAGAGGCTTCCAGGCTTCTCATTGGTCACTGCCCCGCTCTGTGGAAGTAGGCAGAAGGTGAATCTGAGACCCCTGGGCCACAGCATCTTACCACGGGACCCCAACGTCCCACCCAGCCCTCCCCGAGCTAGGAAAGGACATCTCCACAGGGACCCCAGGGACTGCCCAGCACCAACTGGGACCACCCTGGCTGTGCACTATCCTGGCACCTGCCGGCGCAGCTGAGACCAGGGCTTCACACACCTGTGGGCCCTGCCATGGGGACCCTGAAGCAGCTGCAGGGGGAGCACTTGTGAGCATGCCCCACTCTGCGGGGTCCTGGGCAGCCCTGGAAGAGGGTCCCACCCAGCTCCTAAGGACTGTTCGCTGCACACCCCAGGTCAGAGGGGCAGCTTCCACCACACACCTGTGCCGCACCAGTGCAAAGCACCAACCTGATACTATGGGTGGAGAATTCCACACCAGGACACTTTTACATCGCCAGGCTGTGTGAGTCCATAAAGCACAAGGGACTCTCCTGTTTAAATACAGGTCCCTTCCCAGTTTCTCATGGTGTACGTGCAAATCTCCCAAATCTGAAAATACCTGCATCACGCACTTCCAGCTGCAAGCATTTCTCACACCACACTCGGCCCTGCGATGCCTTCCTCATCTCTGGTTCAGAAAAAGGAGGCTGGGAGAAGAGGAACATCTTGTCCAGTTCTCCGAGTCGGTGGAGACAAGCAAGCTCCTGCCTGACTTCTTTCCAAAGCACAGAGCCACACTGGACCCAAGACCCTGGGCTCTGTGGGCCGGGAGTCGTGTCCGAGACTGGGCAGGGACAGGCAAAGCCCCCAATGCAGAAGGCTCCCCTCACACCTGAACAGTTCGGGTCCAGAAGTCGGGAGAGGTAAGTCTGCTAAGTCTTGGATACAGCAGAGGGACCAGGACAAGGCCCAACTCTGGATCACATCCGCACTTCAGAGAGGATGCGGGAAGGTGGTACCACAGACCCTGAGCAGGTGAAGCCAGGCCACGAGGAGGCTGTGCCACAGCTGGCACCCTCCCTGCCACTGTGCCAGCTGTGTCCTTGGCCCCCTCAGGAACATGAGTGCGGAGTTTGTGTCTGAGGATGCAGGGCGGTGGGGGGGCTGGGGAGCCCCCTTCCCCAGGTGCTGAGAACACACCCTGTCAGGCTAGTGCCGCACCCCCATCTCTGCCAGGCCGTGTGAGTCACATGGGGCAAGGGCTCCTCCACATCGGCATCGGGGCCACCAGGGCCACGGGTGGATCCTCAAACACAGGCCAAGGCACGAACATCAGGGTTAATAAACAGCTTTATTTACCTTGTACAGCATCCACTTCCTTACATTCTCTATTGATTTTGCCATTAAAGTGCCAGAAATTTTCTCAATCATGGTAACATTCATTAAAAGAAATCAGAACTATCATCAGGAGCATGATGGTCATGAATGAAACATTTCTCTTACAGAACACAGAATGGAAGCCCCTGGAGTCCTGCTGGCAGGCTGAGTATCTTGCACACAGGCCCTAGTTCCCTCTCCTGACACCCAGCTGGTGGGACCGCCGCCTCGCCACCCGGGGGAAGCCGTGAAAGAGCTCAGCAGACACCCAGCGCCTGCCAGCTGTTCTGGGCCGCACCAGGTGTGGCTGCTCGCATAGGTCCCATCTCGGGAGCAGAGACCAGGTGCCCCTCACCGCTTCCCCCCCTCCCCACCAACAAAAGCCCCAAAAGTCATTACAATGAAAAACGTGGGTCTCCATTACTCCAACACTAACAATGTCCAGTACAAATGCAGGTAATAAACACAAAAGCTTGCTTAGTAAACAGGAGCTCTCAGCGTTCAATGCAAAAACAGAGAAAGAAAACTGAAATCTTAAGGCAAATACTGTTGGCTCTGCCCAGGGCCAGCAAACCAGAACTCTTCCCAGAGCCTGGCGTCCAGGAGCCCAGGGTGGTGGTGGCCAACTGCAGCCAGGAGAGGCCAGCTCTGCACTCTGCCGAGGCCGCTGGGAGGCTCTGGCTTTGTACACAGCACTCCGAGGCTGGGCTACGCAGGTATGTACACAGGCTCGGGGCTACTCTTTCTTGGAGGGCACGGCCAGCTCCACGTCAGGAAGCTGGATCCCCACCTTTGTCCCGCTGTCATTGCTAGAGGATGAGGACAGGCGGGACTTCGAGGCCCAGGACGCACCACTGCCCTGCAACTTGCCCGCCTCCTCATCGCTCCCAGTCACCTCATAGTGGCCTTTGCTCTTCGACCCCAATCCACCGAAGGTACCGAATTTCAGCTTGCCGTGTTTGCCCTTTGCTTTCCCTCCGTCCAGCGACGGCTCACCACCCTCCGACTCGAGAGTCCCCGTCGGAGTGGAAGGCGCGGAGAGCTCTCTGTCGTCGCTGAAGGAGCTGGAGCGGTGCCGCGGCTTCTTGCTCTTAAACAGGGAGAACTTGCCTCTGGGGGACGTCTCTGCCTCCGCCTCTCCCTCCAGAGAGCCCAGGCTGGCCTTGGAGCTCTTCAGGTCCCCTTTGGACCCCGACATGGACGCCTCAGGTGAGGCCGAGGCGCTGCCCTTGCCCTTGGGCTTGGAGAAGGTAAACTTGGGCATTTTGATCTTGGACTTCTTCAGCTTCACCTCAGACTCGTCCCATTCGCCTTCTGTGGCAGCAGCTTGCATGGTGGCCTCCACCCTTGGGAAGGCGACATCCACGCCCACCTCTCTGCCAACCAGCTCACGGCCGGAGGTGAACTTGGGGATCTTCATCTTGGGGAATGTTACTCTTCCAGACTCACTCAGCCCGAGCTCTCCCAGCTTCGTGCCTCCGTCTGACCTCGGCCCCGAGAAGTGAAGGCCTGAGCTGAGAGCCAAAGAGGCCTGGGGTCCCTGCCAGTCCACCCCACAGCCTGTGACACCGAGACACCCCTCCCCCAGGCTGATGTCAGGGGTGCCAACAACCTCTGACACGTCCACACCACCTGTGACTTTCGGGCCCTTCCAGCTGGCACCAAAATCAGACTCTGGGGAGGCCACACTGAAGGCAGGCCCCTTGACACTGACCTCAGGAGCGGCCCCATGCAAACCCATCCCGGAGCCCTTCAGGCTGCCTTTGAGGTCAGGACCGGAAATCTGCCCTGCTGGGAGCCTCACCATCACACCAGGAAGGTCCACGCCACCTCCAGATGATGTCACTCCAGGCACCTGCAGGTTTCCTTCTAGGCCTTGAACACTGACTCCTGGAAGAGCCCCTTTTGGCTCCCCAGTGGCCCCCAGGCTGCCTGTCACTTTTGGTCCCCAAATGTTAAAGTCCATGTCAGGTGCAGAGAGCTGTGGCCCTTTCATGCTCACGTCCACCCCCTTCCCCTTTAGTTCTCCCGCAACTTGTGGCCCCTTGATGCTGACATCCGTATCGGACCCTGGTGTACACATGCCAAACTGGGGGAGCTTCATTTGGGGAAGTTTAACTCCAACCTCCGGTGCCTCCACACTCAGTTCAGGAGCACCCATGGAGGTCTTAGGACACTTGATGTCCCCCGAGACAGCAAGGTCTCCCTGCAGGCTTGGTCCCTTCAGTGTCACATCTGGGGCCCCGACAGCAACACCGGGCACTTTCAGGTCATCTCCTCCCACCCGCACCTTCCCAACACCACCTCCGAGGGCAAGGCCTGGGCTGTGCACCTTCACGCTGGGAACAGAGGCATCCAGCTCTCCCTTCAGACTTGGTCCTTTCAAGTTCAGGTCAAGGTCAGGCCCAGAGACTTCAGACAGGTTCATGGAAGGCAGGTCCATGCCTGGCCCAGTCAGCATGACCCCAAGCCCTTGCAGCCTGATGTCTGCAGCACTCAGGCCTCCCTCAAGGGAGGGCAGCTGGACCCCAGTCTCAGCACCCCCAGCCTCCACAGTGACACCAGGGATACCAATCTTGGGCACTGAAAACTTGGGGAACTTGATTTTCGCTTCTGGACCTTGTAGATCGACATCTGGTCCTTCAAGGCCCACACTGGGGACATCACCCTGTATCTTTGGTCCTTTCAAATTAACATTTACATTGGGCATGGAGACCTGAGGGGTGGAAATGCTAAAAGAAGGTGCTTTGACTTTGGGATCAGGGCCTTCAATGGTGACATCAGGTGCGTCCAAGTTGGCCTGCACCTTGGGGCCCTTCAAGTCCCCTTCTATCTTCGGCCCTGAGACATCCACACCTGGCATGGTGAACTTGGGGGTCTTCACCTTAATATCTGGACCCTCCACACTAATCCCTGGTGAACAGAGATTCAGATCGGGTGTCTGGACTGGACCTTCCATCTTGGGGCTGGGGAGGGGAGCCTCAGCTTTAAATTTAGGTGATTTAATGTCAAACTCTACATCTGGGAAGTACATTTTCCCAAACATAGTCTTCTTGGATCTAGGAGATTTCACATCAACTTTGAGTGCAGCATCTGACCCAGCAACACTGACGTCCACATCTGGGGCCTTGACACTGGTGTCAATATCGCACCCGGGAGCATTCAGATCAAAGCCCTGCTTCTTGGCCTTCATTTTAGGACCACTCATGTGAATCTTGGGCATCTTAAACTTGCCTTTCTTGCTTTTGCCACCAGGACCAACCTCAGGAGTCTCCACATTCAACTCTGCCTCAGGCACAGATATATCCAGTGAAGATGGCTTGATGTCAGCTTTAGGACCTTTTGCTCCAAATCCAAACTTGGGTTTCTTAAACTTGGGGTTTTTCACATCATGCCACTCAATGCTAACACCAGAGCTCTGCATGTCCACATCTAAGTCTGCAGCTTCTAAGTCAACCTTGGGCCCCTTGAGGTTCACTTCACCACCTTCTAACTTAGGATCAGAAACTCCAATTTCGGGCATCTTCAAGTGCAAATCAACATCAGGAACAGTTACTTTAGGAGCAGATATGTCCAGTGATGGCATTTTCAAATTAGGGCCTTTGAGTTTGGCATCTGGTCCTTCAAAATCCAGACCTGGACCCTTAAGATCAACTTCAGGGCCTTTGAGTGTACCTCCAATCTTAGGGACAGACACATTAAAATCTTTTACTTTAGGTCCTTTCAAATCCAGATCAACATCAGGCATGGAGATCTTGGGGGCTTTGATGTTCACCTCAGGCACCTTAAACTTGGGGCCCCTCAGCTTCGCCTCTGGACCTTCAATATTCACATCTGGGCCTTCAATCTCTACTTTGGATGCTGAGACATCAATGTCAGCCTTGGGCAGGTTCACATCCACCTCAGGGCCCTCTGCTTTGAAGCCTGGCATGCTGAACTTGGGCATTTTCACTTTGGGCATCTTCAGGTGCCAGTCTGGGCCATGAACATCCACATCTGGAACATCAATGTCCACTTTCGGGCCTTTAATATCCACATCAGGAACTTTAATCTCACCTTCCACTTTGGGCAGAGACACATCCACATCCCCCTTCACTTTCGGTCCTTTCAGGTTAAGATCAACGTCAGGCATGGAGATCTTGGGGGCTTTGATGTTCATCTCCGGCATCTTGAACTTCAGACCTTTCAGTTTTCCTTCTGGTCCTTTGATATTCACATCAGGACCTTCAATGTCCACCTTGGGCGCCGAGACATCAATGTCAGCCTTGGGCAGGTTCACATCCACCTCAGGGCCCTCTGCTTTGAAGCCAGGCATGCTGAACTGGGGCATTTTCACCTTGGGCATCTTCAGGTGCCAGTCTGGGCCTTTAACATCCACATCTGGAACATCGATGTCTACTTTTGGGCCTTTGAGGTCAACTTCAGGTCCCTTGAGGTCACCTTCCACTTTGGGCAGAGAAACGTCCACTTCGCCCTTCAGCTTTGGACCCCTCAAGTGCAAATCAATGTCAGGCATGGAGATCTTGGGGGCTTTGATGTTCATCTCCGGCATCTTGAACTTGGGGCCCTTCAGTTTCCCTTCTGGACACTGAAAGTCAAAGTCCGGAGTGTCAATGTCCAACTCAGGGCCTTTGATATCCACTTTAGGACTTTTCAAATCTCCTTCCAGTTTAGGAATGGAAACATCCAAAGCTCCCTTTACCTTAGGTCCTTTCAAGTTCAAATCAATGTCACTCATTGAGATTTGTGGGGTTTTGAAATGAACATCAGGCATCTTCAATTTAGGACCTTTGAGTTTACAATCAGGACCTTCAATGTTCACCTCTGGACACTTCAGATCACCTTCCACCTTAGGTAGTGAAAGATCTACATCTCCTTTTGCCTTTGGCCCTTTGAGATTTAAGTCAAAGTCAGGCATGGAAATCTTAGGGGCTTTGATGTGCATCTCCGGCATTTTAAACTTGGACCCCTTCAATTTCCCTTCTGGACCTTCAATATTGACATCAGGAGCATCAACATCCACACTCAGGCCCTTGAGGTCACCTTCCACTTTGGGTAAAGAAACGTCCAAATCACCTTTCACTTTGGGGCCTTGTAAATGTAAATCAATGTCTGGCATGTACATCTTCGGAGCTTTGATGTTCATCTCTGGCATCTTGAACTTGGGGCCCTTCAGTTTCCCTTCCGGACCTTCAATATTCACATCTGGGCCTTCAATGTCTGCTTTGGGTGCTGAGATATCAATGTTAGCCTTGGGGAGTTTCACATCCACATCTGGGCCCTCTGCTTTGAAGCCTGGCATGCTGAACTTGGGCATTTTCACCTTGGGCATCTTCAGGTGCCAGTCTGGGCCTTTAACATCCACATCTGAAACACTGATGTCCACTTTTGGGCCTTTGAGGTCAACTTCAGGGCCTTTGAGGTCACCTTCCACTTTGGGCAGAGAAACGTCCACTTCGCCCTTCAGCTTTGGACCTTTCATGTGCAGATCAATGTCTGGCATGTACATCTTGGGAGTTTTGATGTTCATCTCTGGCATCTTGAACTTGGGGCCCTTCAGTTTCCCTTCCGGACCTTCAATATTCACATCTGGGCCTTCAATGTCTACTTTGGGTGCTGAGACATCAATGTCGGCCTTGGGCAGGTTCACATCCACCTCAGGGCCCTCTGCTTTGAAGCCAGGCATGCTGAACTTGGGCATCTTTATCTTGGGCATCTTCAGGTGCCAGTCTGGGCCTTTAACATCCACATCTGAAACATCAATATCCACTTTTGGGCCTTTGAGGTCAACTTCAGGGCCTTTGAGGTCACCTTCCACTTTGGGCAGAGAAACGTCCACTTCGCCCTTCAGCTTTGGACCTTTCATGTGCAGATCAATGTCTGGCATGTACATCTTGGGAGTTTTGATGTTCATCTCTGGCATCTTGAACTTGGGGCCCTTCAGTTTCCCTTCCGGACCTTCAATATTCACATCTGGGCCTTCTATGTCTACTTTGGGTGCTGAGACATCAATGTCAGCCTTGGGCAGGTTCACATCCACTTCAGGGCCCTCTGCTTTGAAGCCAGGCACGCTGAACTGGGGCATTTTCACCTTGGGCATCTTCAGGTGCCAGTCTGGGCCTTTAACATCCACATCTGGAACATCGATATCCACTTTGGGGCCTTTGAGGTCAACTTCAGGGCCCTTGAGGTCACCTTCCACTTTGGGCACAGAAACGTCCACTTCGCCCTTCAGCTTTGGACCCTTCAAGTGCAAATCAATGTCTGGCATGGAGATCTTGGGGGCTTTGATGTTCATCTCTGGCATCTTGAACTTGGGGTCCTTCAGTTTTCCTTCTGGTCCTTTGATATTCACATCAGGACATTCAATGTCCACCTTGGGCACTGAGACATCAATGTCAGCCTTGGGCAGGTTCACATCCACCTCAGGGCCCTCTGCTTTGAAGCCAGGCATGCTGAACTTGGGCATTTTCACCTTGGGCATCTTCAGGTGCCAGTCTGGGCCATGAACATCCACATCTGGAACATCAATGTCCACTTTTGGGCCTTTGAGTTGGTCAACTTCAGGGCCCTTGAGGTCACCTTCCACTTTGGGCAGAGAAACATCCACTTCGCCCTTCAGCTTTGGACCCTTCAAATTCAGGTCAATTTCAGGCACAGAGACCTTGGGTGCCTTGAGGTGCAAGTCAGGCATTTTAAACTTGGAGCCCTTTAGTTTCCCTTCTGGACCCTGAAAGTCAATGTCTGGAGAGTCAATGTCCACTTTGGGGCCTTTGATTTCCACTTCAGAGCCTTTCAAATTATTTTCCACTTTAGGCAAAGATACATCCACATCACCCTTTATTTTGGGGCCCTTCAGATTCAGGTCGAAGTCAGGCATGGAGATCTTGGGGGCTTTGATGTTCAACTCTGGCATTTTGAATTTAGGGCCCTTCAGTTTTGCCTCTGGACCTTCAATATTCACACCTGGGCCTTCAATGTCTACATTAGGGGCAGAAATGTCAATATCAGCTTTAGGGAGAGTAACATCCACTTCAGGGCCCTCTGCTTTGAAGCTGGGCATGCTGAACTTGGGCATTTTCATCTTGGGCATCTTCAGGTGCCAGTCTGGACTGTGAACGTCCATATCTGGAAGACTGATGTCCATTTTGGGGCCTTTGATATCAACATCTGGCCTCTTCAGATCTCCTTCAAGTTTGGGAAGAGAAAGATCTACATCACCTTTCACTTTGGGACCTTTCAGATTTAAGTCAACATCGGGCATGGAGATCTTGGGAGCTTTAAGGTTCATGTCAGGCATCTTAAATTTGGGGCCTTTTAAGCTTCCCTCCAGACTCTCCACGCTGACTTCTGGGCCCTCGACATTCAGACTGGGACCTTCCATATTGACGTCTCCTTTTGGTATATCCACAGCTATATCAGGACCTGCAGCTTTTAAGCCAGGTACACTAAACTTGGGCATTTTCATTTTGGGCATCTTCAGGTTCCACTCAGGACCATGAATATCCATGTCTGGTGCATTAAGATGGACTTGTGGTGCCTGAATCTCCATGTTGGGACCTTTAACATCTTCCATGGTAGGACCTGCAACCTCTAAGTCTCCTTTGACTTTAGGGCCTTTCAAATTTAGCTCCACATCAGGCATAGATACTTTGGGTGATGAAATACTCAGGAAGGGCATTTTAAACTTGGCTCCTTTCACTTTTCCTTGGACTTCAACATCGGGAGCATTAATATCAACTTTTGGACCAGACACATCAATATCAGGCTTTTTAACTTTGACATCCAACTCAGGTGTCTGAACTTTTGAGCTGGAAAAATTAAATTTGGGAAGCTTAAAACGAGATTTCTTTGACTTGCCTTCAATATTGAGTTTAGGCTCAGAAATGTCTACTTCTGGACCCTTCACATCCAATTTAGGAGCTTTAATGTCACCTTCCAATTTCAACCCAGAGGTATCCACATCTCCTTTCAGCTTAGAGCCCTTCAAATTCAGGTCAATATCTGGCATAGAGATCTTGGGCATGTTCGCGTGCATCTCAGGCATCTTTAATTTTGGTCCTTTTAATTTGCCCTCTGGGCCATGAATGTCAACATCTGGAACATCCATATCTAAATTTGGACCCTTTAGGTCAAGACTAGGCCGCTTCAAATCACCTTCCAGGTTTGGAAGTGAAACATCTACATCTCCTTTTAATTCAGGCCCTTTAAGATTAAGGTCCAAATCTGGCATGGAGATCTTGGGGGCTTGAATGTTCACCTCAGGCATCTTGAATGTGGGGCCCTTCAGTTTCCCTTCTGGTCCTTCAATATTCACATCAGGACATTCAATGTCCACCTTAGGCACTGAGACGTCAATGTCAGCCTTGGGCAGGTTCACATCAATCTCAGGGCCCTCTGCTTTGAAGCCAGGCACGCTGAACTTGGGCATTTTCACCTTGGGCATCTTCAGGTGCCAGTCTGGGCCTTTAACATCCACATCTTGAACATCGATGTTCACTTTTGGGCCCTTGAGGTCAACTTCAGGGCCCTTGAGGTCACCTTCCACTTTGGGCGGAGAAACATCCACTTCGCCCTTCAGCTTTGGACCCTTCATGTGCAAATCAATGTCTGGCATGTACATCTTGGGGGCTTTGATGTTCATCTCTGGCATCTTGAACTTTGCACCTTTTAGTTTTCCTTCTGGTCCTTCAATGTTGACATCAGGACCTTCGATGTCCACCTTGGGCGCCGAGACATCAATATCGGCCTTGGGCAGGTTCACATCCACCTCAGGGCCCTCTGCTTTGAAGCCTGGCATGCTGAACTTGGGCATTTTCACTTTGGGCATCTTCAGGTGCCAGTCTGGGCCATGAACATCTACATCTGGAACATCGATATCCACTTTTGGGCCTTTAATATCCACGTCAGGAACTTTAATCTCACCTTCCACTTTGGGCAGAGACACATCCACATCCCCCTTCACTTTCGGTCCTTTCAGATTAAGATCAACGTGAGGCATGGAGATCTTAGGGGCTTTGATGTTCATCTCCGGCATCTTGAATTTGGGGCCCTTCAGTTTCCCTTCTGGACCTTCAATATTCACATCTGGACCTTCAATGTCCACCTTGGGCGCCGAGATGTCAATGTCAGCCTTGGGCAGGTTCACATCCACCTCAGGGCCCTCTGCTTTGAAGCCAGGCATGCTGAACTTGGGCATTTTCACTTTGGGCATCTTCAGGTGCCAGTCTGGGCCTTTAACATCCACATCTGGAACGTCGATATCCACTTTGGGGCCTTTGAGGTCAACTTCAGGGCCCTTGAGGTCACCTTCCACTTTGGGCAGAGAAACGTCCACTTCGCCCTTCAGCTTTGGACCCTTCAAGTGCAAATCAATATCTGGCATAGAGATCTTGGGGGCTTTGATGTTCATCTCTGGCATCTTGAACTTGGGGCCCTTCAGTTTCCCTTCCGGACCTTCAATATTCACATCTGGGCCTTCAGTCTCTACTTTGGGTGCTGAGACATCAATGTCGGCCTTGGGCAGGTTCACATCCACATCTGGGCCCTCTGCTTTGAAGCCAGACATGCTGAACTGGGGCATTTTCACCTTGGGCATCTTCAGGTGCCAGTCTGGGCCTTTAACATCCACGTCTGGAACATCGATATCCACTTTGGGGCCTTTGAGGTCAACTTCAGGGCCCTTGAGGTCACCTTCCACTTTGGGCAGAGAAACGTCCACTTCGCCCTTCAGCTTTGGACTCTTCAAGTGCAAATCAATATCTGGCATAGAGATCTTGGGGGCTTTGATGTTCATCTCTGGCATCTTGAACTTGGGGCCCTTCAGTTTCCCTTCCGGACCTTCAATATTCACATCTGGGCCTTCTATGTCTACTTTGGGTGCTGAGACATCAATGTCGGCCTTGGGCAGGTTCACATCCACATCTGGGCCCTCTGCTTTGAAGCCAGACATGCTGAACTGGGGCATTTTCACCTTGGGCATCTTCAGGTGCCAGTCTGGGCCTTTAACATCCACGTCTGGAACATCGATATCCACTTTGGGGCCTTTGAGGTCAACTTCAGGGCCCTTGAGGTCACCTTCCACTTTGGGCAGAGAAACGTCCACTTCGCCCTTCAGCTTTGAACTCTTCAAGTGCAAATCAATATCTGGCATAGAGATCTTGGGGGCTTTGATGTTCATCTCTGGCATCTTGAACTTGGGGCCCTTCAGTTTCCCTTCCGGACCTTCAATATTCACATCTGGGCCTTCAGTCTCTACTTTGGGTGCTGAGACATCAATCTCAGCCTTGGGCAGGTTCACATCCACCTCAGGGCCCTCTGCTTTGAAGCCTGGCATGCTGAACTTGGGCATTTTCACCTTGGGCATCTTCAGGTGCCAGTCTGGGCCATGAATATCTGGAACACTTACATCTAACTTCGGGCCCTTGAAATCCACATCTGGTACTTTAATTTTACCTTCTACCTCAGCTCCAGATACATCTACGTCACCCTTGGTTTTGGATCCTTTTAAATTTAAATCAATATCAGGCATAGAAATATTGGGGGCTTTGATATGCATTTCAGGCATCTTGAACTTAGGACCTTTTAATTTGCCTTGTGGTCCTTGAATGTCAACATCGGGCCCTCTGATGTCCATACATGCCACTCTGAGGTCTCCTTCCAATTCAGGAACATCTACATCCACCTCACCCTTTACCTTGGGACTCTTTAAGTGTAGATCAATGTCTGGCATGGAGATTTTGGGAGTTTTAAAGTGCATGTCGGGTATCTTGAACTTAGGGCTTTTCCATTTGCCATCTGGGCCTTCAACAGCTACCTCTGGCATGTCAACATCCAACTTGGGGCTCTTCACATCCAATTCGGGACCCTTTAACTCTCCCTCAAGCGTTGGAGCACAAACGCCAATGTCTCCTTTGATTTTAGGTCCCTTTAAGTTGAAATCAACATCAGGCATGGAGATCTTGGGGGCCTTGAAGTGCATGTCTGGCATCTTGAACTTGGGACCCTTCAGTTTTGCATCAGGACACTGCAGGTCAATGTCTGGCATCTCCACATCCACACTAGGGCTTTTCAAATCTCCTTCCAATTTTGGCACAGTCACGTCCACATCTCCCTTGACTTTGGGGCCCTTCAAGTGTAAGTCCACACCAGGCATGGAAATCTTTGGGGCCTTGAAGTGCATGTCTGGCATCTTGAACTTGGGACCCTTCAGTTTCGCATCAGGACACTGCAGGTCAACATCGGGCATCTCCACATCCACACTGGGGCCTTTCAAATCTCCTTCCAGTTTGGGCACAGTCACGTCCATGTCTCCCTTGACTTTGGGGCCCTTCAAGTGCAAGTCAACATCAGGCATAGATATCTTGGGAGCTCTAATGTTTAGTTCTGGCATTTTGAACTTGGGGCCCTTCAGTTTTCCTTCTGGTCCTTCGATATTCATGTCAGGACCTTCAATGTCCACCTTGGGCACTGAGACATCAATGTCAGCCTTGGGCAGATTCACATCCACCTCAGGGCCCTCTGCTTTGAAGCCAGGCATGCTGAACTTGGGCATTTTCACTTTGGGCATCTTCAGGTGCCAGTTTGGGCCTTTAACATCCACATCTGGAATGTCGATATCCACTTTGGGGCCTTTGAGGTCAACTTCAGGGCCCTTGAGGTCACCTTCCACTTTAGGCAGAGAAATGTCCACTTCACCCTTCAGCTTTGGACCCTTCATGTGCAAATCAATGTCTGGCATGTACATCTTGGGGGCTTTGATGTTCATCTCTGGCATCTTGAATTTGGGGCCCTTCAGTTTCCCTTCTGGACCTTCAATATTCACATCTGGACCTTCAATGTCTACTTTGGGTGCCGAAACATCAAAGTCAGCCTTGGGCAGGTTCACATCCACCTCAGGGCCCTCTGCTTTGAAGCCTGGCATGCTGAACTTGGGCATCTTTATCTTGGGCATCTTCAGGTGCCAGTCTGGGCCTTTAACATCCACATCTGGAACATCGATATCCACTTTTGGGCCTTTAATATCCACGTCAGGAACTTTAATCTCACCTTCCACTTTGGGCAGAGACACATCCATATCCCCCTTCACTTTCGGTCCTTTCAGGTTAAGATCAATGTCAGGCATGGAGATCTTGGGGGCTTTGATGTTCATCTCTGGCATCTTGAACTTCAGACCTTTTAGTTTTCCTTCTGCACCTTCAATGTCCACCTTGGGTACTGAGACATCAATGTCAGCCTTGGGCAGGTTCACATCCACCTCAGGGCCCTCTGCTTTGAAGCCAGGCATGCTGAACTGGGGCATTTTCACCTTGGGCATCTTCAGGTGCCAGTCTGGGCCTTTAACATCCATATCTGGAACATCGATATCCACTTTGGGGCCTTTGAGGTCAACTTCAGGGCCTTTGAGGTCACCTTCCACTTTGGGTAGAGAAACGTCTACCTCTCCCTTCAGCTTTGGACCTTTCATGTGCAAATCAATGTCTGGCATGTACATCTTGGGAGTTTTGATGTTCACCTCTGGCATCTTGAACTTGGGGCCCTTCAGTTTCCCTTCTGGACCTTCAATATTCACATCTGGGCCTTCAATGTCTACTTTGGGTGCTGAGACATCAATGTCAGCCTTGGGCAGTTTCACATCCACATCTGGACCCTCTGCTTTGAAGCCTGGCATGCTGAACTTGGGCATTTTCACCTTGGGCATCTTCAGGTGCCAGTCTGGGCCTTTAACATCCACATCTGGAACATCGATGTCTACTTTTGGGCCTTTGAGGTCAACTTCAGGGCCCTTGAGGTCACCTTCCACTTTGGGCAGAGAAACGTCCACTTCACCCTTCAGCTTTGGACCCTTCATGTGCAAATCAATGTCTGGCATGTACATTCTGGGAGCTTTGATGTTCATCTCTGGCATCTTGAACTTGGGGCCCTTCAGTTTTCCTTCCAGACCTTCAATATTCACATCTGGGCCTTCAATGTCTACTTTGGGTGCGGAGATGTCAATGTCAGCCTTGGGCAGGTTCACATCCACCTCAGGGCCCTCAGCTTTGAAGCCTGGCATGCTGAACTTGGGCATTTTCACCTTGGGCATCTTCAGGTGCCAGTCTGGGCCTTTAACATCCACATCTGGAACATCGATGTCTACTTTTGGGCCTTTGACGTCAACTTCAGGGCCCTTGAGGTCACCTTCCACTTTGGACAGAGAGACGTCCACTTCACCCTTCAGCTTTGGACCCTTCATGTGCAAATCAATGTCTGGCATGTACATTCTGGGAGCTTTGATGTTCATCTCTGGCATCTTGAACTTGGGGCCCTTCAGTTTTCCTTCCGGACCTTCAATATTCACATCTGGGCCTTCAATGTCTACTTTGGGTGCGGAGATGTCAATGTCAGCCTTGGGCAGGTTCACATCCACCTCAGGGCCCTCAGCTTTGAAGCCTGGCATGCTGAACTTGGGCATTTTCACCTTGGGCATCTTCAGGTGCCAGTCTGGGCCTTTAACATCCACATCTGCAACATCGATGTCCACCTTGGGCCCTTTGATGTCCACATCTGGCACCTTCACTTCACCTTCTACCTTAGGCACAGTCACGTCCATGTCCCCCTTGACTTTGGGGCCCTTCAGGTGTAAGTCCACATCAGGCATAGAGATTTTAGGGGCTTTGAAGTGCATTTCCGGCATCTTGAACTTGGGACCCTTCAGTTTCGCATCAGGACACTGCAGGTCAACATTGGGCATCTCCACATCCACACTGGGGCCTTTGATATCGACTTTTGCATCCCTGAGTTCACCTTCTAGCTCTGGCACGGAAGCATCTATCTCTCCTTTCAGCTTAGGTCCCTTTAAATTCAAGTCAACATCAGGCATGGACATCTTAGGAGCTTTGATATTTAACTTTGGCATCTTAAACTTGGAACCTTTCAGTTTTGCTTCTGGTCCCTCAATATCTAAATCAGGAACATCAATGTCCACCTTGGGCACTGAGGCATCAATGCCAGCCTTGGGCAGGTTCACATCCACATCTGGGCCCTCTGCTTTGAAGCCCGGCATGCTGAACTTGGGCATTTTCACTTTGGGCATCTTCAGGTGCCAGTCTGGGCCTTTACCATCCACATCTGGAACATCAATGTCCACTTTTGGGCCTTCGAGGTCAACTTCAGGGCTCTTGAGGTCACCTTCCACTTTGGGAAGAGAAACGTCCACATCTCCTTTCACCTTAGGACCCCTCAAGTGCAAATCAATGTCAGGCATGGAGATCTTGGGGGCTTTGATGTTCATCTCCGGCATCTTGAACTTTGGACCTTTTAGTTTTCCTTCTGGTCCTTCAATGTTAACATCAGGACCTTCGATGTCCACTTTGGGTGCAGAGACATCAATGTTGGCCTTGGGCAGGTTTACATCCACCTCAGGACCCTCTGCTTTGAAGCCAGGCATGCTGAACTTGGGCATTTTCATTTTTGGCATCTTCAGGTGCCAGTCTGGGCCATGAACATCCACATCTGGAGCATCAGTGCCAAATTTAGGGCCTTTGATGTCAACATCTGGCACTTTCACTTCACCTTCTACTTTAGGCAAAGACACATCCACATCCCCCTTCACTTTGGGCCCCTTGAGGTTCAAGTCCACATCAGGCATGGAGATCTTGGGGGCTTTAATGTTCATCTCTGGCATCTGGAACTGGGGGCCCCTCAGTTTCACATCTGGCCCTTCAATATTCATATCAGGACCTTGAATGTCCACCTTGGGCACTGAGACATCAATGTTGGCCTTAGGCAGGTTCACATCCACCTCAGGGCCCTCAGCTTTGAAGCCAGGCATGCTGAACTTGGGCATTTTCACCTTGGGCATCTTCAGGTGCCAGTCTGGGCCTTTAACATCCACATCTGCAACATCGATATCCACCTTGGGCCCTCTTATGTCCACATCTGGCACCTTCACTTCACCTTCTACCTTGGGCACAGTCACGTCCATGTCCCCCTTGACTTTGGGGCCCTTCAGTTTTAAGTCCACATCAGGCATAGAGATTTTGGGGGCTTTGAAGTGCATGTCCGGCATCTTGAACTTGGGGCCCTTCAACTTTCCTTCTGGATATTCAATATCAGCATCATCAACATGCACATCCATCTTAGGGGCTTTCACCTCAACTTCAGGACCTTTCAAGTCTCCCTCTACTTTTGGAAGGGAAACATCTACATCAGTTTTAAGTTTAGGGGCTTTCAGATTAAGCCCAACATCAGGCATAGAGATTTTGTGTGTCTGTATACTCATGCTCGGCATCTTGAACTTGGGTCCCTTCAGTCTCCCCTCTGGAACATCAATATTCACATCAGGACCTTCAGGGTCCACCTTGGGCGCTGAGACATCAATGTCGGCCTTGGGCAGGTTCACATCCACCTCAGGGCCCTCTGCTTTGAAACCTGGCATGCTGAACTTGGGCATTTTCACCTTGGGCATCTTCAGGTGCCAGTCTGGACCTTTAACATCCACATCTGGGACATTCATATCTATTTTGGGCCCTTTTGGGGCAACAGGGGCTTTTATTTCTCCTTCTATTTTTGGGACTTTAACATCATACTCTTTCACTTTTGGACCTTTCAAATGCAAACCAACATCTGGCATGGAGATCTTCTGAGGCTTTATATTCATTTCTGGCATCTTGAATTTGGGGCCCTTCAGTTTTCCTTCTGGTCCTTCGATAATCACATCAGGACCTTCAATGTCCACCTTGGGCGCCGAGACATCAATGTCAGCCTTGGGCAGGTTCACATCCACCTCAGGGCCCTCAGCTTTGAAGCCAGGCATGCTGAACTTGGGCATTTTCACCTTGGGCATCTTCAGGTGCCAGTCTGGACCTTTAACATCCACATCTGGAACATCAATGCCAAGTTTAGGGCCTTTGATGTCAACATCTGGCACTTTCACTTCACCTTCTACTTTAGGCAAAGACACATCCACATCCCCCTTCACTTTGGGCCCCTTGAGGTTCAAGTCCACATTGGGCATGGAGATCTTGGGGGCTTTAATGTTCATCTCTGGCATCTGGAACTTTGGACCTTTTACTTTTCCTTCTGGTCCTTCAATATTCACATCAGGACCTTCAATGTCCACCTCGGGTGCCGAGACATCAATATTGGCCTTGGGCAGGTTCACATCCACCTCAGGGCCCTCTGCTTTGTAGCCTGGCATGCTGAACTTGGGCATCTTTATCTTGGGCATCTTCAGGTGCCAGTCCGGGCCATGAACATCCACATCTGGAACATCAATGTCCACTTTCGGGCCTTTAATATCCACGTCAGGAACTTTAATCTCACCTTCCACTTTGGGCAGAGACACATCCACATCCCCCTTCACTTTCGGTCCTTTCAGGTTAAGATCAACGTCAGACATGGAGATCTTGGGGGCTTTGATGTTCATCTCCGGCATCTTGAACTTCAGACCTTTCAGTTTTCCTTCTGGTCCTTCAATATTCACATCAGGACCTTCAATGTCCACCTTGGGCACTGAGACATCAATGTCAGCCTTGGGCAGGTTCACATCCACCTCAGGGCCCTCTGCTTTGAAGCCAGGCACGCTGAACTTGGGCATTTTCATTTTTGGCATCTTCAGGTGCCAGTCTGGACCTCGAACATCCACATCTGTGGCTTGAACATCTAACTTGGGACCTTTGATGTCCACATCTGGAATTTTCATCTCACCCTCTATTTTTGGTGCAGACATATCTAGATTTCCTTTTATATTCGGTCCTTTAAGATCCATGTTGACATCTGGCAGAGTCATCTTTGGAGCCTTGAAGTGCATCTCTGGCATCTTAAACTTTGGGCCTTTCAAATTCCCTTTTGGTCCTTCAAGGCTCAGATCTGGGGCACTAATATCAACCTTTGGTGCAGAAATGTCCAAATCAACCTTAGACAAGTTCACATCCCCTTCTGGGCCCTCTCCTTTCAGACTGGGCATGCTGAACTTGGGCATTTTAATTTTTGGCATTTTCAGGCTCCAATCAGGCCCATGAATATCAACATCTGGGGCACTGACATCTATTTTAGGGCTTTTCAGGTCACCCTCCATCTTTGGCACTGTAATGTCATATTCCCCCTTCACCTTGGGAACTTTTATATGCAAATCCACATCTGGCATGGAGATCTTGGGGGTCTTGATGTCCATATCTGGCATCTTAAGCTTCCCTTCAGAGACTTCAACATTTACATGTGGGACTCCTACCTCTACTTTGGGGCCTGAGACATCGATGCTGGCCTTGGGCAGGTTCACATCCACTTCTGGACTCTCTGCCTTCACACCAGGCATGCTGAACTTGGGCGTTTTCATCTTGGGCATCTTTAGGTGCCCATCTGGGCCTTGAGCTTCCACATCTGGCATATCAATGTCCACTTTGGCAGTTTTTAGTTCAACATCAGGTGCTTTAATCTCACCTTCAACCCTTGGCACTGTGACATCATATTCTCCCCTTGCATGAGAACCTTTCAAGTGTAAGTCCACATCTGGCAAGGAGATCTTGGGAGCTTTGATGTTCATTTCGGGCATTCTAAAGTTAGGCCGTTTCAATTTCCCATCTGGTCCCTCAAGGCTCACATCTGGAACACTAACCTCTACCTTGGCCCCAGAAATGTCCATGTCGGCCTTGGGCAGGTTCACATCCATCTCAGGACCCTCTGCCTTGAAGCCAGGCACGCTGAACTTGGGCATTTTCATCTTGGGCATCTTCAGGTGCCAGTCTGGGCCATGAACATCCACATCTGGGACCCTAATGTCCCCTTTAGAGACCTGCACCTCTGCTTCAAGCTTTGGCATTGTTGTATCACATTCTTTCACTTTTGTCCCTTTGGTGTGCAAATCTACACCAGGCACGGAGATCTTGGGTGTCTTCAAACCCACTTCAGGCAGCTTGGTATCAGGGCCTTTAAGTTTGCCTGCAAGACCCTCCATGTGGAATCCTGGTGCTTCCACATTGACCTTTGGCCCTGAAACACTGGCATCCCCTTTGGGCATGGTCACGTCCACACGCGGGGCATCCCCTTTTACTCCTGGAACGCTGACTGATGGCATCTTCAGGTTCCACTCTGGGCCATGAAGCTGCACCTCTGAGCCACTGACACCCATTTTGGGGCCTTTGACATCAACTTCAGGCACCTTGACTTTCCCTTCTACTTTCGGGAGTGTGATGTCCACTCCCCCTTTCGCTCTAGGTGCAGCCACTTTCAGGTCCACATCTGCCATGGAAATCCTGCATGTGCCCGCCTTCCCAGAAAAGCCACCCAGCTTGGGGCCAGTCAAGGTCCCCTCCAAGTCTGGTGCCTCTATGTCTACTTTGGAGCCTTTTGGTGCCACTTGAGGGCCCTTCACATCACCTTTTACCTCGGGAGCAGAAACTTTAATATCTCCTTCCAGTTTGGGGGACCTAAGGTTCAAGTCCACATCTTGCATAGAGATTTGTGGTTTCTGAATAATCATTTCAGGAGTCTTTACCTTCACACCCTTAGTCTTCACTTCCAGCCCACTAGGGGCAATCTCGGGCAGGCCAATACCCCCAGGGACCCCTGGAAGAGTCACTTCCCCTGTAGGCAGTGTCACGTGGATGTCAGCTCCCTCTGCCTTTGAAGCAGGTGCAGAGAACTGAGGCCCCTTCCTCTTGGGCACATGTACATCAACACCTGCAGCTTGCACCTCCACACCGGGGCACATGACACTGCCCTCGATTTGGGGGACAGAGATGTCCACTCCTATGCTCCCCTGTGGCTTGGCCCGCTTCAGGCCCACCTCCCCATCAAGGGACAGCCCAGTGACTTGGGGGCTCTTCAGGTTCCCCTCCATCCCCTCAAAACTGAGGTCCAGGTGTGGAACCTGCATGTTTCCACTGATGGCCACACCCGGCCCACTGCTCCCAGAGACATTTAGTCCTGCCCCAGATGCCTGGCCCTCCGGCCCTGGCAAAACCCCAAACTTTGGCATCTTCAAGGTAGGAATTTTAACTTTTGCATTATTTACCTCTGCTGCTCCAGCACCAAGAGAAGATGGGACATTCCCTCCTGTACTGTGGACGGCCGGCCTGCCCCCCAAGTCTAGGCCCTTCGCACTGACACTGATACCTGGGCTCCCCACCTTGACCCTGGGCATGGTGACCTGGATTTTTGAGGCGTCTGCACCCTGGAGCTCTGGCCCTGAGGGTAGCTTGATCACTGTCTTCCCCGGCCGGGTTTCTACGTCCATTGTGGAGATTTCGGTCACTTCATGCCTTGGAATCTTGACCATGAACTCAGGGCTGCTGATGTCAATGTCCTTAGCTCCTTCTGGGGCGGTGACATCCACAGTGTAGGCAGTGACCCTTCTGGTCACAGTGATGGTACGGCTCTGGGTCTCCCCAGGATCCACTGCCAACCCATCCTCTGATCGAAGCCGTGGCTTAATCTTTGTGGCATAGATGCGCTGGTACTCCTCATCGGCCCCGCTCTGTAGAGAAACACACCCAGCACAGGTCTAAGGGAGCCTCCCACCACTGTGGACACAGCACTAACCCAAGAAGCAGGATCCCCATGAGGCAAGGCAGAGCACCAAAGTGACAGCCACTCCTCAGGGGAAACAAAATCATCTGGGGGACTGCGGGGAACAAAAGCCCTGAGACAGGCTATGCTGGGTGGGAGGAGCCCGGGGGCCAAGCCAGTCAGACCCAACCAAACCCTCTGCTCACCAGGCTCCACACTCAGCTTGCTCAAGTAACCAAGGAGCAGCCCGACATGGTGGTGCATGCCTGTAGTCTCAGCAACCGGAGACTGAAGCAGGAAGACTGCCCTGGGTTCAAGGCCAGCCTGAACTACACAGTGAGACCCTGCTTCAACACACACACCAAAAAAGGAGAACAAGAGTCCCCAGAGTCCCTCACACTGAAATGCCCTTACAGAGCCTAAGAGGCAAGTGCTGTAGTTAGCACTTGCACATTAAGCACAGTCCACCTATCCCAAAAACGGGCCATGAAAGGAGCACACCATGTCCCTGCAGGCCCGGGGCTGCCGGCCTTGGACACACAGAACAACAGTGTCCAGTGGGTGTCACCTGCAAAGCCACCCCCTACCTCAGCACCAGGCTTTGTGGTCACTGTCCCTGTGCACTGTTCTAAAGGGACCAAGAAAAGACCAGTTAGGGTAGCGCCAGCCCCACACCACAGCAAGAAGAAGAAACAGGCAGGCAGGGGTTTGGGGAGTGCAGAGGCCATGGGGGTGTAGGTGCATCAGGCAAGCAGCCATGCAGGGTGGCTGTGTAGGAGGCCCAGAGAGCCTCAACCTCGGTACTCACCAGAACCATCTCGGGGCTGCGGGAGCCAAAGGCCTCGTGTGCCCAGGCCTGGCCAGGCTCAGGGGAGCGGTCGCCCCTGCGGTGCAGCTTCAGGCCGACGGTGTGGTGGCCCACAGTGCTGAGCAACTGTGCCACCTCCCCCGACTGCAGGTTGTCAAAGTAGATGGTGGCACCCACGATCTGGTCACCTGAACAGCAAGCAATGAGCCGGTCAGGCTCATGGGCCTGGGAACCACGTGTCACAACCAGGAGGAAGGGGGGCAGTCGTGCACACGAGCAAACTGAGATCCAGACACGCCCACCACTGTGCCCCACACGGCAGAGCTAGGGCAGGGGGTGGGACCCCATGTCCTTCTGGCCCCACAGTGCCCAACCAGGCCGGCAGGCCACACTCACCCTCCTGGACCACACCAGCACGTGCCGCAGGCGAGTCCTGCTGCACCTCTTGCACGAACACGCCATCGTCCCTCTGTGCAATGGTCAGTCCGTGCGAGCCACTGCCCTGCCAGCTGGGAAGCAGCAGCTCCCGAGTCGTCTCCTCCTCCTTCTCCATCTGGGAGGCAGGATGGGGACTCAGGTCAGGGTCCCTGGGGCCTCTCTCCAGGCTCCCACACTCACCCTGCCATGAACCCCCTGGCCTGGCTGCCAGATCACTGCCCACCTCTGCAGGTCCTGACTTGGCAGACATGGGCCAGGAGCCCGGCCCGTGTCCTCACTCCTCCTGCGTGTGGTCTGTAGTCAGAATCGGTCACAAAGGCTACAAGGGAAAAGGTTCAGAGTGACACCCATGCCCAAGGCCCTGACGGCTGCCACTGAGGGGTGCCCTGGTGCCGTGCCCAGCCTGACCAACCCCAGCCCATGATGGCCACAGTTCACGAAGTTACAACCTGTGGTGTACCAAGCCGCGTCAGAGAAGACCTAGCTCTGGCTCCTGCCCGGCACCCTCCAGGCTGCAGGGCCCTGGCCAAGGCAATTAACTCCCCAAACCCAATAAAGGGCTCCCCTGGGGATACAGGAGCTTGGAACTGGCAGGTTCCTTGGGCCACTACCAGGAGAGAGGACTTCCACTGGGCAATACCCAGGACCAAGGGCAGCTCAGACCCCATGACCCCCCACGCCACACCAGTACCTCCAGCCTGTGCCCAGGCCCCACAGGTGAAGCTCCCCAGACTCAGGACGTGTGTGGGACTAGCGGACACCTGGGGAGACACCAAGAGGGGCCCTGGGCAAGGCCAGAAACTGCAGCCGCCCACACAGAATGGCAGCAGGGCCAGCAAATTCTCGCCTGGGAAACTGTGTGGGTGACACTGTGACACAGCCGGGAGCCTCGCCCAATGCCCCACCCCAAAGCTGCTGCTATCCAGACATGAGTCACCCAACAGGCAGGTGCACACATGACCCCCACCCACATGTCCAGTGCTATGCCAGGCTCCACAGAGGACCCCGACTGGGGATGGACACAGCCACCCAGGTCAGCCTGGCAGCCTCCAGGCACTGAGTGCAGCCACGTGCAGAGGTGGAGGTGACACCCTCAGGCCCTGCCCCAGACCTAAGTCATGAACAAGGCACTTTGACTGTGACTGGCTCAGCCTCAGAACCTCCCAGAGATGAGAAAGTACCCCAAGGGAACAAAACCTAAATGAGACATTCATGGTGCTGGAGTCTGAGCCCTGCCAGCGCCTCATCACAGCATTCTGGGACTCAGCTGAGGCAAGGGAATGGAAAATTCAAGCCCAGCCTGGGAGAACTTGTCTCAAATTCTGAAACAATGTTTTAAAACTGCTGGGAATACAACTCAGTGCAAAGTCCTTGGGTTCAATCCACAGCACCAGCCTCAGCCAGACCCTTCCCAGGTTTAGCACAGGAACAAGGTGAGCAGTCACCTGACCTCCCCAGGGGAAACAGCGCTGGCTGAGGAGCCTGCCTTGCAGGAACGGACCTGAAAGCCCCACACAGGGTGCCTGGTGACCCATCCTCCTCCTCAGCAGAGGGGACTGAGCAGCCAATGCCCACCCACGCACCCCCCTCCCCTCCCCTCCCATGAGTCACTGTGGCACAGCTGCAGCTGCAGCTCCAAGACACAGAGGGCAACGCCCAGAGCTAGGCCCAGACCCCAGGACGTTGGCATCTCAGTGGACCCGGTTGGGTGGGGAGCTGAGATGGAAACCATGGCAGCCAGACACAGCCCAGCCCACACCTGCAGAATCCGCACCCCCAATCCCCCCACCAAGGCTGCAGTGCTCCTCCCCCACAGAAGGCAGGCAAGCAGGAGAGGCCGCACCCTGCCGTCAGGACTTCAGGACTCCACATGCACACAGGGTCAGTCTCCACTGTCTCTACCTGGAGAAGAAGCCTTGGGGTTGTGCCAACCTACAGGTGGCTAAACTGAAGGGAAGTAAATCAAATCCAGTTCCTTGGTTGGACTCGCCAGGGTCCGGGTGCTTGGCAGCCATCTACACCTCCAGCAGCCACAGGCGCCCCCGTCCCCATCCCAAGCTATCCACAGAGACACGGCTGCGTCTAGACAAGGACCAAGCCTTGTCTGATGGCTTCTGGCATCCCGGGAGAGGTGGCAACCACCCCGGCCACCAAGCAAGGAGACGCAGCCCAAACCTCAGGCTGAGTTGGGACCGATGTAGGAGCAGGGCTGCCTCCAATCCCAAGCTAGAAAGGGGGTGCCTGCCCCTTGATAGGGGTGATACCCAGCAGACCCAGGGGACACCAGGAGCAGGAGTCACCTGCCCGAAGTCCTCACAGGAAGGACCAGCACTGCAGCAGGTCTCCCAACTCCACAGGGAGCAGCTCTTCCTCCCCAGCACCTCCCAGAAGGCAAAGGAACTGAAACCCCCACACCCCAAACCCACAGCAAGAGCCAGCACCACAGCAGAGTGAGCTACCCAGGAGACAGGAACAAACGGCCCAGCCACAGAAGGAGAGACACCTGCCCACACCACAACCACACACAGGCTGGGACAGGCTGTCCCCACCCGGGACTGCCACACCGGAGCCCCACACATCAAACGACAGAAGCACGCAAGCCATGCTCAGACAGGAAGAGCACATGTACCTGGAGGGAGCTACACACCGCACTCCACACACACACACCACTCACCCACCACACCCACCACACTCCACACACAGCACTCCGCACACCCCACACTGACAGAGAAGCTGCAGAGCACCGTGGGGTGAAGGGCCCTGTGCTAGCCACATCCACACGGGGCCTCAGCCCTACCCCAGCAGCCCTTCATGGTAGAGCTGGCACCTCAGCAATGGGAAATAAGAGCCCAAGCTGGCAGGCCCCAGTGAGAAGGCCAACAGCCTTCACCCAGGCAGGGACACACACTACAGGAGACCCCTGGGAGCTGTGCGGTAGGGGTCCCCAGAGGCGAGGTGTGCTGCACGGGACGGGGGCCGGAGGGGCCCCAAGGGCAGGACCGGAGCATCCCAAAGCCTAGCTCACCTCCAGATTCCTCAGGGACCACAGGCACAGGGGACAAATCCTCTCTCCCCTCTAGGCGGGCACCAGGCCCGCTCTGGACACAGCCACCAAGGTGGGCGTGGCCACTCACTCTAGATGTCAGAGACCACGTGGCATCTCTCCCACAACTTTTGCCTCCAGATGGACTCCCCGCATGCAGCTGTTGGGTGAGTAACACATTCGGTTCCACCCGGAAGAAGTCCACACGGTTTCCAAGAAACCTTCCCACACGCACACGCTGCCTCTGGGAAGCACACCCGCAAGGATACCCCAGGTAATGCTAACAGTCAAACTGCGGTCACGGGGAGCCTTAGACCAAGACCCCGCAGCACCACTGCCCACCCCGCAGGCCCCAGCCACACCTTCACCAGCTCACAGACACTTGTCACTAGCCCATGTGCGTGGGACCTTGCTCTGACTCTGTGTCACCTCCCTGGGAGAGGGTGGCCGGCCCAAACGCCTCCTCCATGGCCCCAGCAGGGCCAGGCCAAAGTCTCAGAGCCAGCAGGCAGGGAGAATCCTGCTCTTACCCTGGCCTAGAGGGCCTCCACTACCCTGCCCCACTGTGACATCCTGGAGACAGCGGGGCAGGATCCAGCGGGAGGCCCCAAGGCTGGCCAGACATGGATGCCTAGGCCTCTCCAGGGCCTCAGAGACGGGAACACACCCTTGTGAGGAGGGTGGACAGAGCTTTGCCAGTCCTGGGGGTGAGGACAGCTGGGGTCCCGCCCCCGCCCCACCCAGGCATGGCTTGCAGCAGGGCCACGCTCGCCCCAAGTGGCCAGGCTGCGCCAGTGCAAGGGCCTAGGGGCACCCCCAGCCCAGCCCTGAGGGTTCCAGGCTCCCCCCGCCAGCCTCTGCTGGTAGGAGGGCGGCAGGATGCCCCTTCCCTAGTTTCTTCTCCCTCTGCAACTCGGGGTACACCCACGGGCAGAGCAGATGGCCACTGCCTGGTCTCCAAGCCCAGGGTAACCACGTAGACAACACACACCCAGCGGGACACCCTCTCCTGGCAGTACAGGAACCTCAGCCCAAGCACAAGCTGGGACCTAGAGGTAGTGGGGACTCAGGTTCACAGCCAACAACCCCTGAACCATGAAGACACAGACCCAAGACACCAGCTACAGCTGCAGCAGTGGGACCTGAGCCAGCAGGAAGGGGCTCCCTGGAGCCTTCCTGTGCTCCCCGCATTCCCTGCAACCCCAGTAGTCAGGCTGAGCAAGTGCTGCTAGGGGAAACCCAGAGACTCAAAGGACCCAGGAGCCAGGTGCCAAAGGCCTCAGACACTGCCACAGACCTGCTGCCCTCCAGGGCCACCTCCTCCTCAAATCTCAGTGTCCCCTGCACAAGGACAGCCTAGCTCGGGCAGAAAATCGTGGGAGCAGGGCACAGCGCTGTCTTGCTCTCCCGGTCTGCCAGTCTGTCCCCAGGCAGTTCCCAAGTTCTAAAGAAGGGGTGACCACACCCAGGCCCACACACCTTCCCACTGCTGGCGCTGCCCAACCCCACAAACCAGCTCCTCAAGCTCAGCTTGGCTGCTTGGCTAGTGTCCGAACCTATACCACAGCCTCCCTGTGACCAGAGCACTAAACCCCCAACCCTGCCCTGCTCTGTCCTTCGCACAACCCACCCCCACCCCCCGCATCTGTGTGCACCCCTGAAAGAGGCAGTCCTCAGCGCTGTGGGCTCAGCTCCTCAAGGAGACATCCAGGTCATCCCAGGCAGGAATGTGGCCTCGGCGGCTACCTGTGTACCCTGTGTCCCTGTTCACAGCCTTTTGGGGGCAGGGATTTGGGGGGATCCGGGCACCACCTCAGCTCCGCTCCGGCTCCCTCAGCCCACAGCAAACAGGTGTTCCCCAAACTTGGGCTCCTATGTACCCCAAATTGCACGCTCTGTCACCAAGCGACCCTTTGGGCCCAAGATCCTGGGGAGGAGCCGCCCCACGGCTGGGGACGGAAGGGGCCACGCCCTGAGGGGACTTCCCTCCCTGCGCGCGGGTGGGGCCTGGGCCGAGCCGCGCCTTGAAACA